ATCTGACAGACTTTATAGAGCGTTACAAAGAAGGCAATTGAGAGTGGGCCAAGATTTCTGCTACGATCCCAAACATCCACATTTTCAGGTAATTGAGCTCTAGCAATCTCTTATTACACACATATGTATGAATTCCAACTATCATCATATTTGTTTCGTTCAAAATCTTCAGAGAATGGGTGACTCGCTAGGCACATTTATGAAAACATCTGTCTCGGCGGCATATATAATCTTCAGATGGTGACTCGTTAAGTAATTGTTCGCATATATCATGATTTTTCTATGAAGAGGATTTTCAAATGAGTATGAAAGGTGCTTTGATTTTTCTATGGAGTTAATTTTCAACTAGCTAGTATTAATAAATTCATTTACTTGTTATGCCACACGAGGTTTCTTGTTTTGTTTTCAATAGCTAGTATTAATAATTTCAATTTGTTTGTTAATCTCTGGATTTTTCACAAGAGGTTGGGTTGTTTGTTTAATCTGCATGCTTTAGTTGTTTCTCAAAAAATTTAATTCCCTCTAAGAGAAATGTGTCATCAAATTTGGGAATGATTATTGGCTCTGCCTTGATAAAATGTATAAATTATTATAAGAAGACCCAAGTAATTAACGGTTGTTGTTTAGACACACTTGAAAGAATAGCAAGTACATATTGAGAGCCTAAAAGTGTGATTAGGTAAGGCTCTCTCTATAACTGGACAAGCAGTTTCTACTCTTTCCTTCATTATAATACCGTTCATCATTTCAGGGACTCTATGGAAGCAGCGAACGGAGTGGTGTAAACCATCAAAGTCAGCCTACGGAAGTTCCAATAACTGAAATTTGATAATTTTCATCAAAAGTCAGCCTTGAGAACTTGACAGAGACATGATGAATTTCGAGGTCTACTGAGCTTTTGATTTACAAACATACCTTATTTTTGTTTACTAAGCAGAAACTTCGTGAACACCGACTGTATATATAACTAATCTACTGGTGTACCGTGTATTCGTAAAATGTACTATGAGGAACTGATGAATTTGGGTTTGCAATTTACCTTGGCTTTCTCTTGTTTATTGTATATCAGTTCCCAATTTATTCTGGACCATTGGATCAAATAATTCAAATCTAACCGTCCAACAAGTTGATGTATCGATACTTCGATGTATATTAGAATTTTCGCTCAAATGAAGGTCAAGAAAGGCAGCAGCATCCTGATTCCTAGGTTTTTAGCCTCACATGAGTAGGGCTCATCTTTTGGCATGCGGGCTCATGGGCCGATGGGGGCCTATCCGGCCCATTGAAAAAAAGCCTGGCCCGTTATGGGCTTTGAGATGGCCCGGCCCGTTTTGGGCTGGGCTAGGCTAGGCTTGGGCTTGGGTGTTTGAAGCCCGGCCCGACCCATAGGTCCGGCCCGATTAAGCCCAAGAAAGCCCAACCCGGCCTGCCCACAAAAGCCCGCCCATTAGGCCAGCATACATATATAATTATGTATAAATAAGAGTTTAGGTTTATGATTTTATTACTTAAATCACATATATAATTTGTTTCATTTCATTCACTTTTCTTTACTCATTCCTAGTTTATAATTGGATGATTAACACATTAATTTGTGTCAATTATTAATTCAACAATTATATATATATATATAAATAAGATGAACAACATATCACATCACCAAATATAATCATGCTTTTCTTGAAAACATCACCAAATATTTACATATTTATTCATACATCCTTTAAAAAAAATATTTGTTTGATACTTATTATTTTTTAAAATTATTTCTTAAAACGTATTACGGTCTAATTATGTAATAACCTCAAAAATAATACTTTGTTTTATTATTTTTGTGGAAAATTTTATTAAGTTGTGTGACTTTATTGGGTGTTTTATGAATTTGGTTTGATGTGAAAATATTGGAATTAAGTGAGTTTAATCTCAAATTTGGACTAAAATGCCCTTATGATTAAGTTTATGATTTTTTTTAATGAAGTAGGCCTGTTTAGGCCCGGCCTGGCCCGACCCGGCCCGACCCGGCCCGATGGGATTTCTCAAGCCCGTCTCATGGGTCGGGCTTGGACTTTGAATTTTCTAAAGAAACCCAGCCCGACTCGATATTTCTCTCTCCTCTTTAAAGCTCAACCCAACCCGGCCCAAGTCTATTAAATTTGGGCTTGGCTAGCCCAGCCCAGCCCATTGACGAGCCCTACACATGAGTCACATGACTCCTGCCTCCCGAGTCACATGGGCTTTACCAATTTATATTGAAAATACAACTAAATGAGCTTTTTATATTTTACTTTGTATTAAAAAAGAAAAAGCAAACACAGATTTCGACGTTATTTTTGTCCATGAAATTATTTTAATCCCTTGGTAATGGGGTAAGCACGTGTTCCTCCTCCCCACGCTTAGACAAAGCCAACTTTAACGCAAGTGGCATCAAACGAGAGAGGGTGCTTCGAGGTTTTTGTTTTGATTCGAATTTTGAACACTTACTCTCTATATGAACTGGATACAGAAGACATGCAATAATAGCACTGTTCCATATCCGTCATTTCTTTCTTCTGATATCACTTCCTATCTCCTTTTTTCCATTTTCTGAATCCCAAAATGGCTGATGGGCTCATTTCCATGCTGCTAGATCGCTTGGCCTCTGCAACCTATGAATACATAGGAGGAGGGGTGAAACTTGTTTTGAACGTGAAGGAAGATGTTGACAAATTCACTCGGACTCTCCGAGTTATTCAAGCTGTGCTTGAGGATGCAGAGCAACGCCAAGTGACGGATCAAGCTGTCAAAATCTGGTTGGATGAGCTCAAAGATATATCCTACCAGATGGTGGATGCGCTGGATGAGTGGAGCACTGCCATTCTCAAACAACAAGTTGAGAAGCAAGAAAGAGAAGGTGATCCAACTGCTCTTGTTACAAAGAAGAAGGTACGTTTCTCTAGTTTCTCCCGTCGCTTTTGTTTTGGCCAAGTGAGTCGGGTAATTCATCATCATAAAATTGCTCAGAAGATACAAGGTCTGAATGATAGGTTAACTGAGATTTATGAGGAAAGAAAAAAGTATCAATTTCTACACAAAGAATTAGGCATTCAACAACCTCAACGACCTCAAACTGCATCTTTTGTCGATATGTCTGAGATATTTGGTCGAGAAAATGAAAAAAATCTATTGATAACAAAGTGGTAGTAGCGTAGAAGAGGTCCTTATCATCCCTATTGTAGGGATGGGAGGCATGGGTAAGACCACTTTGACCCAAATAGCCTATAATGATGACAATGTTAAAGCCCATTTTGAGATCAGAAAATGGGTTTGTGTTTCAAACCCTTTTGATGAGATTAAGATTGCCAAAGCCATTAGTGGCGATTCCGACCCCAAGTTCAAATGAATTGGATGAAGTCTTGCAATGCATGTCTGGATCCATTCAGGGCAAAAGGCTTCTCCTTGTCTTGGATGATGTATGGACCGATGATCCTAAAAAGTGGGAACAATTAAAGGTACCATTATTCCAAAGTGGCGCTAAAGGCAGCAGAATACTGGTGACCACAAGAAAACTAGAGGTTGCTAATATGATGAAAGCAACACGAAACATGATCAATCTCGAAGGGTTGAATGGTGAATATTGTTTGGCAATCTTCAATCATATGGCCTTTTCTGATGGGGATGTAGATGAGGCATTTGGAGATATAAGAACGAAAATTGTAAGGAAGTGTAAGGGTTTGCCTCTTGCTGCAAAGACTTTAGGTAGTCTCATGCAGAATAAGAGAAGAATGAGAGAATGGAATGATGTTTTGAATAGTAAGATATGGGATCTAGAGAAAGTCGAGCAAGAAGTTTTCCAACCCCTATTCCTAAGTTATAATGATTTGGCCCCAACAATTAAATGTTGCCTTTTATATTGTGCTACTTTTTCTAAAGATTATGAGTTCAACCGAAATAATTTGATTAATCTATGGATGGCACAAGACTATGTTATTTCGAAAGGGAATAAAGAAAAGAGAACAACGGGTGATACAGTTTTTGACAACTTAGTAACATGGTCATTTTTCCAAGATTTTGAGAAAGATCTTAACACTGGTACCATTACAGGTTGCAAAATGCATGATATTGTGCATGACTTTGTACAATTTCCCACCAAGAATGAGTGTTTGATTATCGATCATGGTGAGGAAACTACCAGCGAATCAAAGGTATTGGGTGATAAGCTTCGTCATTTGACCTTGAGATATGTTCCTGAAGGTCCACTTCCACTTTTTATCTCATCTTACAATTGCAAAAATCTTCGCACACTCGTAACTTTTGATTCAAAAATTACTACCATAGACCCAAATTTAATTTTACAATTGAAATGTCTTAGGACATTAAATTTGAGTGGTAATTCCATCAAAGAACTCCCAGAGGAGATTGGGTGAATTGATACATTTGAGGCATATTGATTTGTCTTGGAATCATGCTTTGGAGAAATTACCAGACACTATTTGTGGTTTGTACAATTTGTCTACCTTGCGCCTTGTGTGTTGCTATGAACTTAAAAAACAGCCTGAAAACATGGGAAACTTGATTAACTTAAAGCATCTTTATGTTGCGGGGTGTAACGTTCTGGAGTCATTGCCCAAAGGGATAGGGAGATTAACAAATTTGCAAACACTAGATGTGTGTCCATGTGGTGGGGACAACGATGAAGCATTCCAAATTGGGGATCTGATAAAGTTGAACCTTGAGGGAAGTCTCATGATAAAACTTGTGGGGATGCGACAAAAGGTCTTTCATTTCGCTGTTTATTTTGAAAGGCAGACGAACATAGTAGTAGTAGTGTAGAAATACTGAATGCCTTACGACCGCACCCAGATTTGGAATCTTTAATGATTCAGTGTTATAATGGCGCCACGTTGCCCAATTGGATGCAGTCTTTACACAATTTGAGATCCCTTTACATTGTTGAGGGGACAGAGTCTGAACTTTGGCCTCTTGGGAAATTGGAGTACCTTGAAAGATTGATCCTATTCAAGATGGAAGGAGTGAGAAAGGTCGGTGTTGAATTTTTGGGATTAGAAGATCAAACCTCATTCAGAACCAGATCACCACCCCTGATATTATTCCCAAAATTGAAACAACTCGGCTTTCACCTCATGCCGAATTGGGAAGAGTGGGAAGGCGTGGAAGAGTGGACGAAAGAGGATTCTGAAATTACAATCATGCCATTCCTTTTTGAGTTAAGAATTGAATTGTGCAAATCGCTAAAAGCACTGCCAGACTTCCTCTTCAAAACACCACTGCATACTCTTCTCATCACTGCATCTCAGAGACTTTCAGAGCGTTACCAACAAGGCAATGCAGAGTGGGCCAAGATTTCTGCTACGAACCCAGACATCCGCATTATCAGGTAATTGAGCTCTAGCAATCTCTTATTTACATACATATGTATCAATTCCAACTATCATCATATTTGTTTCCTTCAAAATCTTCAGGGCATGGGTGATTGCTTGGCACATTGATGAAAACATCTGTCTCCGTAGCATATATAATCTTTGTTACCCTAAGAGGCTAAATGCCAATTGACTGTAGCTCTGTCTTCCAATACTGTGAATGATGAAATGGTTCTTTCATTGTATGGTTAACCTATGGTGCACTTACTGGCTATTAGGATATTGGAACTTGGCATATAGTCGTGGTTAAATGTTATCCATAATGACTTTTCCCAAATCTGGAAGATTGGATAGTGTCTGATTTTTTGGTAAATTCATGATAATGTTGCATGAAAATATAACAAAAGATTGATATATATTTTTCTTCTTAGCATGCTTAATTGTTGCCAAGATAGATCTTAGAAGTTGAATAGCTAGGCACCACATAATATTGAAGAATTGAGTTCAGAATCTTCTGATCCTTTTCTTTTATGCTAATAGTAATGATGATCCATTCTTGTGAACTTTTTTGGCCAATGTGTGGTTGAGTAAGGTTTTAAGATTTTTTGAATATAATGGAACCATGCCAAGATCTTATTATATTTGGTTTTGAAGGTTGATAATTGTTAATGAATGCCCTTTTGTTTTGTTTGTTTGTTTAGATTTTAGTACTATGTAAATCTTGTGGTCGTGTTGTATATATGTGCAGGGAAAAGAGGAAAATAACGCTGCAAACCGAAGATATCCAAAGCCCGCCTCAACTGCGACTTCCAGTGTTCATAAGAATGTAAAAGTGGTGCATGAGGTTGTTTCTCATCACAATCTTAGTTCTATTAGCTAGTTTGTATGTCTTTCAGGATTGATAATACTTGGATATGTTTTTCCTCCCATAAAATTGAGTTGTTCAATATTTATGTTTCTTCTAGCCAACTAGATTAGCGTGCCCGCACACATATTGTTCATCAGCAAATTAAGCAATTTGAAAACGTTGTTATCTATTTCAGATTGCAGAATTGAAGTCTGGAATCCTCGACGTGCTTGAAGGGAACTGAGGTCTCCTTTTTCACCCCCTCCAAATCACTAAATAATTAATTAGAAAACTTTCTTTTTTGCCTGGACTGATTGTTTTGATGAAATATCATTCTATCTTTTGTATAAAGATCACCTCTTATTTGTAACTTTGTAAGTGTGTCCTTATTTTTATAGGATGTGGTTATTGTGCAGGCTCAAAATGCCAAGGTCTGTCCGTATCCCCTGTAAAATCAATGGGGCCTGTGCAACAGGAAGAATGTGCCATCGCATTTATAATGCGGCAAAGTTTGCAAAAACAGGCGAGAACCAGTGCAATAGATCGGATTGTGTAAATGGAAAGCCCCACTGGAATGTCAGATACATTAGCCTCATGGTATGCAACTGAAAGACTGGATAAGAAAATCATGTTTTGTTTTCATTTCGAAGGCTGCCATCAGGTGAGGCGCTGAAGTTTAGAAAGTTTATTTTAGATTTGAAGTAAGAATATGTATACTTGCGAGAAAGGTAACTGCGTATACCTTAAGCTTTCGGAGAACAACTGAATGTAAATTAATGGAGCTATATATTACAGAATGACGATAGTTTCTGCTGAACTCAATCAGAGCCTTGTGACTTGTGATTGTGAACATGCTGGGCAGCAAGACTGAGGTCTGTATCTGTCTCTTTTTCTGTTTTTAAGAATAATTTGTGTTCAGACCAAAAAAAGAAAGAAAAAAAGAAAAAAAAGAAAAATTTGTGTTTGAAAATTACATTGGCCCGGGGGTGGAGCTACTCCGGGTCCAGGAGTGGCCTTGGCCCCTCCACGTTTTGAATTAACAAGACGAATATAAGTCAAGAAAATATATTTTAAAAACAGAGCTTTTGCTATATCGTAGTTTCCGTCATGCCAGATCGTAGTTTCCACTGATCTGGTAATTTGCTCAAACACTTACATACACAGAACAAAAATAATAGAGGCACAAAGAACTAACATAGAAACGAAATTAGAGAAATGAAAAGGCATTTGGGGATCTACGGCAATCAATTACAATTCACTTTCTGAAAACGAATTTGTAAGTCACTTTCCGAAATTTCGTACGTAATACCTTGATCCTTGATTTTAATACTTAGAATTAGTAAATAAATCCCCATAGTCAATAGAACTAAATTTAAGTAATACGCATCATATCTCCATCTAGAGGCGGACAAAAAAATTGTTGCCACCGGTAAACAAAGGTGGCTTTACTCTAGTGAATAGTGATTGGCTTGGAGTTGGAAATTCGGATACATTATTTATATAAATGGAGCAGTTGAGTTGATCTGGAGATTAAAAGGGATCGTTAACCTAAGATTTCCTACCATCTCTCTAGACAACAGTAAACATAAACTTGATTTAAAAAGTTGGCATAACCAAATAAGAAAAGTACGTATAATATACTAGCCACTCTTTGGCCATGGTTTCCTTGTTGGAGATTTATGCACCGCATCTTGGTAATGCTTCATGTATAGGGAAAAAGTTTATATATAAAAAAACTCGATCAATGTCAACTTGTCACTTTAAAATATAGTGTCCCTGTTATGCATCTTAAAATTGACTTGGAGTTTGCCTTGAAGACTTACTCAGCATATAAACTGGGCAGAAGAAAGGGAACACCACAACACCAACAATCATCCTCCAATCAGTTCTTGTTCATAAACACTGCTGTCAACCATTTTCTAAAGCTCAAAATAATGGCTCATGCGCTCATTTCCTTGCTGCTAGAACGGTTGGCCTCGACAACCTATGAATACATAGGAGGAGGGGTGAAACATGTTTTGAACGTTAAGGAAGATGTTGACAAATTCACTCGGACTCTCCGAGTTATTCAAGCTGTGCTTGAGGATGCAGAGCAACGCCAATTGACGGATCAAGCTGTCAAAATCTGGTTGGATGAGCTCAAAGATATATCCTACCAGATGGTGGATGTGCTGGATGAGTGGAACACATACATTCTCAAACAACAAGTTGAGAAGCAAGAAAGAGAACCAAATGCTCTTGTTCCCCCCAATAAGAAGGTACGTTTCTCTGATTTCTTTTCTTTTGGCAAAGTCAGTCCGGTGATTCTTGGCCGTGACATTGCTCTGAAAATAAAAGATCTGAATGATAAGTTAACTGAGATTTATGAGGAAAGAAAAAAGTACCAGTTTCTAAGGAAAGAATTAGGCATTCAACAACCTCAACAACCTCAACGACCTCAAACTGCATCTTTTGTTGATATATCTGAGATATTTGGTCGAGAAAATGAAAAAAAGGTTTTGATAACAAACTTGTTGGGTGATAGTAGTGCGGAAGGGAAGGGGCTCCTTATCATCCCTATTGTAGGGATGGGAGGCATGGGTAAGACCACTTTGACCCAAATAGCCTATAATGATGACCATGTGAAAGCCCATTTTGAGATCAGAAAATGGGTTTGTGTGTCAGACCCTTTTGATGAGATTAAGATTGCCAAAGATATTAGTGGCGATTGCGCCAGGAGTTCAAATCAGCTGGATTATGTCTTGCAACGTATGTCTAAATCCATCCGGGGCAAAAGGTTTCTTCTTGTCCTGGATGACGTGTGGACTGAAAACCGTCAAAAGTGGGAGCTTTTAAAGGTACCACTAATGCAAAACGGTGCTAAAGGCAGCATAATATTGGTCACCACAAGAAAAATAGAGGTTGCTAATATGATGAGAGCAACACCAAACATGATCAATCTGGAAGGGTTGAGTGATGAATATTGTTTGGCAATCTTCAATCATATGGCCTTTCCTGATGGGTATGTAGATGAGTCTAAGGCATTTGAAGATATTAGTAAGAAAATTGTAAAGAAGTGTAAAGGTTTGCCTCTTGTTGCAAAGACTTTAGGTAGTCTCATGCAGAATAAGAGAACAAAAAGAGAATGGAAAGAAGTTTCGAATAGTAAGATATGGGATCTAGAGAAGGTCGAGCAAGAAGTTTTCCAACCCTTATTCCTAAGTTATTATGATTTGTCCCCAACAATTAAATGTTGCCTTTTATATTGTGCTACTTTTCCTAAAGATTACGAGTTCAAACGAGATGATTTGATTAAACTTTGGATGGCACAAGACTATGTTATTTCGAAAGGGAATAAAGAAAAGGGAACAACGGGTGATGCAGTTTTTGACAACTTAGTGGCCCGATCATTTTTCCAGGATTTTGAGAAAGATCTTGACACTGGTACCATTACAGGTTGCAAAATGCATGATATTGTGCATGACTTTGTACAATTTCTCACCAAGAATGAGTGTTTGATTATCGATCATGGTGAGGAAACTTCCAACGAATCAAAGGTATTGAATGATAAGATTCGTCATTTGACCTTGAGATATGTTCCTGAAGGTCCACTTCCACTTTTTGTCTCATCTTACAATTGCAAAAATCTCCGCACACTCGCATCTCTTTATTCAAAAATTACTACCATAGACTCAAATTTAATTTTACAATTGAAATGTCTTAGGACATTAAATTTGAGTATGAATTCCATCAAAGAACTCCCAGAGGAGATTGGTGAATTGATACATTTGAGGCATATTGATTTGTCTTTCAATCATGCTTTGGAGAAATTACCAGACACTATTTGTGGCTTGTACAATTTGTTAACCTTGCGCCTTGTGCACTGCTCTCAACTTAAAAAATTGCCTGAAAACATGGGAAACTTGATTAACTTAAAGCATCTTTATGTTTATGACCTTTTCTATAAGTCGCTGCCCAAAGGAATAGGGAGATTAACAAGTTTGCGAATACTAGATGCGTGTCGGTGTGGGGGCGACAACGATGAAGCATTCCAAATTGGGGATCTGAGAAACTTGAACCTTGAGGGAAGTTTGGAAATACAACTTGTGGGGGATGCGACAAATAAGAGCGAGGTTGAGAAAGCACAATTGTGGGACAAAAAGCTATTTGATCTCACCGTTGATTTTGAAAGGCAGACGAACAGTAGTAGTAGTGTAGAAATACTGAATGCCTTGCGACCGCATCCGGATTTGGAATCTTTAAAGATTTTGTTTCATAATGGCACCACGTGGCCCAATTGGATTCAGTCTTTAAAAAATTTGAGATTCCTTATTCTTGTTGGGGTGACACAGTGTGAACTTTGGCCT